TGCTTGATTTCCATGCATTTTGCATAATTTCTGTGGTTTCTTTTGCCATTGATTTCTAGTCTCATTGCACTATGCTCTGATAATATGCATGGTAAATTTTCAATTATTTTGCATTTACTTAAGCATGCTTTAGTGGCTAGTTTGCGGTCTATTTTGGAGAAAGTTCCATGTGTTCAGGTCTCCTTCATAAGGACACTAATTCCACTCATTAGGGCTCTGTCTCTATGACTTAATCTCTTCCCAAGAGCTCCACCCCCTAATGCCATCACCTTAGAGGTGAGGGTTTCAACATGAACTTACGAAAGGGGGATATAAATATTCAGACCATAGTAATGGGTTTAAAGGTTGTAAGGTTCTTTCATTGTCTGAGAAGTACTATGGTACTAATTTATAATAAACTATAATAAGTCAAAGATGCATGTTTGTCATCTCTGTGGTAACCACAAAAAGAATAATGAAAGAATGTATAAACAACAAGCAAATAAGGAGTGGAAATGGAATGATCTTTTAAATTCTAGACGAATATAAGGAAAGACAGAAGACAAAAAAGGAAAGAGGAATAAAAACAGATGGGACAAATGGTACATGAAGAAGATGATAGAGTTAAGCTCAAACAGGCAGCCATTACAGGCTTATTGTTTAGCCTACTAATTTCAGAAAAGCAGAGAAGTCCGCCCCAGGAAGCAATAGAGCTTGTCACAACCGAACTTTGCAGACGGAGATAAAAGAGGAAGATGGAAGGATGGATTATCACATGTACTTTCTAACGCAGTAGTACCTTCTGCATGTGGGTTCTCTAAAAGCAAATGCCTCTGGTATCCTTACAATAAACTCTCCTCGCTGAATTAATTTCAGGCTGTTCTGTTTCAACCTTCTGGTGCAAACAAATGACCACTGACTGAGATAGCGGTCACGGTCAGTAGGAGCTGAAAAATACGGTCTCATTAGATCAGCCTCTGGGAAGACAGAACTAATGTCTTGGTCTTGAAGCTTCTGCCATAAGGATGCTTTCACAAACAGGTTTCAGACTGGTGATTTCTGTGTTTTTTGTATATATATTCAAAAACACCAGCTAATGACTCTTTAATTGTAACAGAAAGGTGGTGTTGCTTATAATTTAGAAGATAATGAACTTTGTAAAGTAAAAATGTTTCATGCTAAGAAAGCAAATGAAAAACAAAGGCCTCTTGGTTGATTTTTCTACCACAACCATCTGGTTTTGTAATTAATGTCTTGCCAATATACTAAAATATTTTCTATGTAAATCTTTTACATTCTTGCTGCACTTTCAGTTAAAGTCTCTGAATTAAAACTTTGTACCATGAGTCAGCAGTTAAAGCAAACATGTTTTTCCCATTTATCCTCCTTTGGGAAAACCCAGTCCCGAATGCAGATTGCCTGCCATCCTTCAGTTCTTTTCATCAATCCAGATGTCTGTAATTACTTCTAGAGGTTACCACAGCGGTTTGCCCTGCCATCTGACACCGTCTTTCCCATGGTTCCCTAGAATGACTAACTTTGCCTTTCACTGTCTCCCTTTCATAGCAACAAACACAACCTGTGGTCTGCAGATCCTGGGCCTGGAGACACCTCGTGTTCATGGGTGGCTTTATTCTGGGATTATCATTTTAGACCCACTGGGACAGAGACAGTCTCTTCATAGCCCAATTCAGAAGTGGTTGTTCTGTTTACTGAGCATTTTTACAGAAAGCCAGTACTCTAAGAAGGGAGAGTGAAAGTCCAAGGATCATATACACAAACGTCATGAAGCCTATAGACATTATGACAATATCCTCCAAAGTATGGCCCCAAAGCTGTCATGATCCCTAGCAACATTAAGTTGGCTGTAGACAAATGACCATCTACTCTAGATGTGGGTTAGGAAAGACAGTTGAGCACAGTGGGGTCCTGTTGCCTACACAAGCCAGCAAGATCTGCTTATCTTGAAAAAAAATCCTTCTGAAAGCAGCCCAACAAGGTACTACCTTGAGTAGCTGGCTACTCTGTAGACATCCTGTCTTCGAGCACCTCTACACACACATGAAAACGCCCACAGTGGTAACAGAATTAAAGTAACAATATAAAACTTCACCAAAAATGTTCCTGAATATCGTTATCTTCAAAGTAATTGCTTAGATTGCCAGATATAGGCATGTCAGATTGATCAAACAATATAAACACTAACTGTTCCTTTCAATGAACTAATAGAAATTAGTAGTACAATTATCTTAGCTTCCTTCTTTTCTCCTTTCCCCCATCCCAGTTATTCTTTACTGATTTCTTTTCTTTCTTTCTTTTTTTTTTGGTACTGGGAATCGAATTCATGACTTTGCACTTGCCAAGTAGGCACTGAGCTATACCCTCAGCCCCATCTCAGTTATTCTTTCCTTAAAAAAATGTTCCTGAAGACTGAATGGATCAGACTATTTGCTACTGGTTAAACATCTACAGGAGCCTATATATTAGTATTAGAGCTCTGCTAGGTCTCCTCATAACAATTAGATATAAGGGTTTTTTGGGGGGGTGGGGTAAGACAGGGTCTCACTTGTAGCCCAGGTTGGCCTCGAACTTATGGTGATCCTGTTGCCTCTGCCTCCCGAGTGCTGAGACTATAGGCATGCACCACCATGCCCAGCAACCCCTCATAACAACTTTGCAGACCACATCTCTATCCCTATTGAAGAGATGAGGAAGCTATTCTTAGACAGTTAACTTGCCCCAAATTATATGGCTGTAGGTCTCTGGGCGCTAGGGATTTTCATGCAGGAAAATTAATCTAATCTGAGAGTATTTGCTAAGCATTTTAATAGAGAAGGGAGGAATGCTGAAATGACCACAGAAAAATAGAAATAACTGCTTTAGAAAACTAAATTCAAATAAAATACAATCATATCAACTACTATTTAAAAGTTTCCTATTTTATAAATCAGAATGATACCTAACTAATGGAGTTGCCTATTTAAAATTCTGAGCAAACAGTCCATCATTTCAGGCAAACACACACACACACACACACACACACACACACACACACACACACACACGATACTTTAGGAAAAGTTTCTTGTTCTTCACATCTTTGGGCATCTACTTCCCCACCAGTGACTCTGGGATGAGCTGAGCATAAATGAACCTAAACATGAGGGTTCCGTGCTTCTGGAATCCACACAAGCTTGTGAGCCAAGGGCAAAGTACTTAGAAAAAGTATATTTGGGGATTTGAGCAGAACCAAATTACTCAAAAATGTGATATATATCATCTACAATAACTCAACAAACCTCCAAGCACTCCAAACTTAAGGCTTGTAAACAAACTGGATCTGGCGCACCAGAGAGAGACAAGACTAGAAAAATTCAGGCCCAGTTGTTGGTATTACATATGCTGTATTCAGAATTTCTCCACAGAAGACAAAAATTTCATTAGAATGGAGAAAACAAGGCCTATTGGTAGAGCATGAGAAAAAACGAGTAAATGAGCAAAAGCTAATTATCTAATAGATACAGTCAGAAGAGGGGGAATGTATAAGAAATTAGTCAGTAGACCAAATTACATAAGAAATTATCATTGTTCCAATAATAAGCCTATTCTTTCCTCCCACTTCCATTCAAGTTGTTTGGGAAAAGGTTTTTAACCTTCTTCAGGCCAAAGGGAAGTCAGTTTCTCAGGCTTTTGTAGGTGTTTCCATAGTTTTTCTGGGGCACAATTATATCCTCTCAACCCTCAAGCATGCGCATAGCATCAGGTCCCTTATCAATAATGATATTTTTTGTTGATTTGATTTTAGAAATTGATTAATCCTGTGACTCTTCTTTCATTACAAGATATTGCATTTGTTTCTGTGGCTTTCTGACTTTCACTGATTGATTTTTAAATTTTTTTATTAGTTCATATTTGTAGTACATAAAGATTCCATTCCTTGTGGAGCATTGGTACATGCTTATAACACTTCTTCATTCTTTTTTCATCCTCTTTTCTTCTACTCTCTCCCTCTTCCTCCCTCTTTTAGTCTCCTTCCCATTTGTAAAGATCTATTTCTCTATTTCCTATTACCTATCCTTTATTTTGCTCTTTACTTATATTTTTAGATTCTGATATAAGGGAAACCAGGTAATATTTAAGCTTGTGTGTCTGATTTCTTTCACTTAACATTATGGTCTCAACGGGCATCCATTTTTCTACAAATGATTGAAGTTTATCCTTCTTTATGGCAGAGTAGTACTCCATTGTGTATACATACCAGATTTTATTTACCCATTCATTTGTTCATAGACATGGTAGTTTCCCTCTTAAAGTGGAGGTTCATTTGTTCAGTGAGAGAATAAATGATTTAAGTGCAATGGCAAAAACAGGGTGATATAAATA